TGATGAGTCCAACAAGAAAAACTCAAGAATGGCAATCCTCTTTAGATGTAAATAATTCAGAATTAGTATGTCTGCAGTAACTCAATGCTTATAAAATAACCACAAAAATCAGAGAACAAGTGAGGCTGGAAGTGACTTCTGGGGAGTATCTCAAAGCATGGGCAACCAGAACCAGTTGCTTCGGACTGCGTCCAGGTGGAGTTTGACTGTCTCCAGGGATGGTGTCTCTGCAGATTCTTTGGGCAACATGTTACTATGTTCAACCATGCTCAAGATTCCTCAGAGCCAGAGAAATCAACCAGGTCACATGCAAGTGAGTTTCTGGCTGCTATATATTTTCATATTTTTTTTAAATGAGGCAAATTAATTCCCACTAAAAAACAGCTCTGGAAAATCAAGTCCCCTAATTCACAGGGCAGGATGTCCAGCCTGGCAGTGACCATGCTGATTTGAGACTATTTCAGGACTAACAAAAATATTATTTTTCATGATACGTAGAGACGTTCAACAATTTTCACTGCCAAAGAGAAAATACTAAGTTATTTTAGACTTCCAGCATACCAGCATTTAAGAAAATATTCTGTAACAAACAAGAGAACAGTGCTTCTTTACAACACTTGAAGAAATGCCAATAAATTTCTGCTGATTGAAACACGTATTATTATACTACAACAAACACAGAAAGCCACCTTGCTATTACCAGCCCCTAGAGATAGCAGATTAAAAAAAAAAAAATTCCTTCAAGCCAATCAAACAATAGTTTTGAATTCGAGCCTTTATTCTGTTGCACCTCTTGGTCACAATTTTAATACCAAATACTACAATCACGAGTCTGGAAGTGGAAAAACCTGACGAAACTCTGGAAAATGCTCGTACAGGGAAGGTGGTGTTCATTCATTCAGGCTGAGGACATTGAAATCATATTTAAACCTCTTAATGATGTTTTCAGGAGAGCTCAGCTGCATGGCAGACACTATGATACCATGCTCAAGGCATCTGTTGATGGCAACAGTGCATCTTAAGAAGTACTTTCTGAAGACCACAGGACTATCCTCTAGAGAAAGCCCTAAAGCTTCCCTGGGAAATTATTGTCATTTAGCTAAAAATCTGTGGGTTTAAGCACTTCTACAAATATCTTAGGTTTGTCATATTTAACCTAGTAAAAGGGGGGGGTTAAATTTTCCCCTCCCAGAGGATAATCTGAAGTGCTTATTTACAAGATGTGAAATGAAAGTGCCTTCCTACCGAATGTGTGTGACACCACTGCTGGATCCAAAGGTCCTTAGTGACCTAACCTGGCTGGTCATGGAACTGTGCGCTCCTAAATTTCCTGATCTAACGAAGTAATTGCAGCTTCTTCGAACAGAAGTCATCCAGTCTCACGCTGAGCGAGCGGAGCCAACGCCAGAGCTTCTCACAACAGCTCAGATCTGGCCCACGAGGACATCATACGAGAAACCGCATCGCTCACAGTGGAACCATTGACAATATTTCAAGAGCCTTTTTTTTTTTTTCCATTATATCTTAATGAAAAGTTCATTATATCTACCGCCGTCTGCCCAACGGATAACCAGCTCAAATACCTGCTGTACGTGAACTGCCATGGAGCAACGTATCACTCCGTGGAACAAAAGGCAGATGTTCTTCTGCAGACAGCAGCAACCACAGCTGGGTGGAGACCTGACACACAGCAGCACCTAGAAGCTGGTCTTAATGGCTGTAGCTAACAATAGTGGGAAAGACAGTTTCTCAAGTAGCTGAATTCCAGACCGTTCAAGGCTCACCTTAAGTTGCCCCCTGAAACACATGCTACCATAAAAACTGTCTGGGTTCATATGTAACACTTTAAAAAGCCATATTTGACAGCTATGTTGTCATAACTGTGAAATACAGACCTCCTTTACTTCAGAGCTGTGAAATATGACTTCTCTTTCCTGCTAGCTGGCAGCAGGAGTTCTGCTATATCCACCATACAGTGCGTATAATCAGGAACAGATGCCTGGGAACGATGATGCTGTAATTCCATTGCGGGGTTCCAGGG